TATGTATGTATGTATGTATGTATGTATGTATGTATGTATGTATGTATATATACTATTTTTTTTGACTATGAATTGGCTGATTGTTTTTTAATTCAAGCTCTCCCTATGCATCACCACCGACACTTCCCGCAGCTTGGACTGACACTGCTCAATGCCATCGGCAGATGTGGCATACACCACCTGGCGAACATGCAGGACTTTCATCTCACATCAGAACGTAGACATCAAGTAAGACTTGACAAAGTTCGTTTCCTGCAGGTACCAAGTGTGGCGGCCATACAAAATGTGTGAAGGATGCCCTGGCAACGTCCAGTTGAACCTCGGTTGCGGCAAAGGCTTACCAGTGGACCTAACTCTCTAGATGACTGCAGAGACTTGTTTCTGAGCTTCAATGCCGACAAACGGTCACCACCTGAAACGCTTCCCACCTGAGAATTGAGACCAATGAAGCTGTTCAAAAATGTTCAAACCATCTGAATCCATCTGAAGAGAAAATGATTGGGGAGCCACCTGCCACCGTCCCTCTCCAAAGGCACTCGTTGCCAAATAGGCAGCCTTGGCAGCACAATTAGCAGCAGGGCGATATCTTAGCACACGTGTCAAAAAGCTGTATCCAAGTGAGGAGTGCACATAGTGGCTGATCTGCTCGTCCACTGGAGCGATGAAGGTCAGGTTGCCTAATCGTAGATTGTCAACAATATTGTCGGTGTTAGTGTTAGGTAAGCCATCTGAATGCATTTAAGCCATCTGAAGCCCATGCATCTGTCAATATTGCTGTCAATATGATGGCTTCTGCATCTCTGTCTGTTCTCTGCCTGTCAGGTTCTCAAGGTTCAAATCCTCACCATAGAAGGTGAGGCTCTCAACACTGCCGTTCAAGTCACTGACCTCAACAAAAGGCTGAGCGGCTGGAATTGATCTTTGTTTGTGGCTTCTGCTGCAAAAGCAAACTTAGGTCGAGGGCCTCCAGGCTAGTGGGTATTTCTTGCCTGTAGGGGACAGGTGGAGGCACGGCCCAGCGACCACATTAGTAACCGGATTTGCTCAACACGTATCTGTTAATCTATCGAACATATCAATGCCAGCACAAACTCACTTTCTTAGAGACGGACTCTTCCATTGCTGAGGCAACGTAGAACAATAGATAGCTCGTGGCCTGGACAGCTGCTATTCCAACCCAAGGAAATGCCCGTAGCTAAATCGCACATTGTCATGTCCAACTTATAAGTTTGTATCCATGCGTCGCATGCTGAAATGAGAACAATAGATACCCGGTCTGGGCATCCTCGCCCCTTTATCTCCAACCCTTAAAGTGTGTCCTGTTTGTGTCCCGAAATTGAGTCTGGGGGCAAATTCTGAATTGTATATGTGCACAAATCATACACATCATATTACACACTTGGGCATCACTGACTTAGTAGAATTGAGCTTGCCAATGGAAATAAAAAGGAAAAGGCGCCAGTGAAGGAAGACCAACTAAATGCGGCTTCTACTGAGAGCAATGGCCGCTTGTTTGGATGTTTCAAACACAGGCAACGTGCCAAGGACAAGCGACACTTTGCAAATTCGCACTTGCCAAGTTGAGCACGCTTGGAAGCGCAGTGTCAGCAGCCACTGAAAAGCCTTGGAAGAAGAAACACTTGTTATAAACCACCAGGTGCTTGGCTGGGATTCCTTTCAAAGGTCCTAGGACTTGCTAAAGACCGGGCTTGTGTCCGTAGCTGTTGCAGATCCAAGCAGAGACCTCTCCAATCCAAAAAGCCAAGCACCGTGATTCAAGCGCACAGTCCAACATTCCCCGGCATGAGAACTTGCGCCTCTCGCTCCCAACAGGGTCGTTAGCAACATAGATATTGACCCCGACCTGAGTTGTTCACTCGCCCTCCATGCTGAGACCAAAAATGCAGTTCTCCATCTGTCTCAGCGCCAAACTCCACTGTCATTCTGCTCAAGCCCCAGCACGTCCCACGAAACATTCCCGGCAATCTGCAACGCGTCCTTGCTGTCGCGAAAGGTCAGAGACAAGAACAGTACCAACAATAGGTTTCTTAGCACTATAAGGCTATAGGCTATAAGTGCGGAACTGGGTCGGCATCTGAAAAGTTTCCAACAACTACCTCAAAGGGCGATAGTCTGGGATCAAACCTTCAGAAGAGAATAGTCCAGAGCAAAGGCAATATGGTAGAAAACATCTGTGCAACAGTTGAAGTACAGTATCAGGATCAGACGGAGTAGTTGCTGAGATTCCCAGCTGCGGCTGCCCTCAAAGACACATGTCCGCAGTTGTTGGCTTCCTATCACCTTTGTCCAAACTGTCTGTTGGCCTCACCGACGAAAAGAAGAGAGAAAAGTAGTTCCTATATATCCTCCAACAATTGACCGCCTCCAATAATTCTGATCTAGAACACTTAAAAACACTGACAGCAACTACAAGTCCCTTGGCAAGGCAAAAAGAATGGATCTGATCTCTAAGCTACTGACGGCACCAAAAATGCCAATGCAAGTGTCAGTAACCTGGAAAATGCCGTCACTGCCTGCTTGTTGTTGTCTGTTTTTCAGAGCCCAAAAAATGGAGACTAAGGATATGTGGGGAAAGGTTATGGGTTCTGGAACAAAAAGCGACACTGCCATCACCTGCGAATCAAGCACATGTGCCCGCACATCGCAAGCCATGGGCCCAGCGTAAGCGATGTGTTTGTCTGTTGGAGTTTGTCTTGTTGTTGTTGTTGTTGTCGCCACCTCCAAACATGCCAGAAAAGCTTCTGAAATCCCTGGTGCAAATGATGGGCACTGTTGATGTATCTCATGTGGCCTGCCTTGTAAATGCAAAGAAAGAGAAAGCTCAATAAAACATTTAACAATGAAAAAGTGCCCTCCCAGTAGTTCAAGAACAGGACATGAATCTGATTGCACTCATTTTGCCAAGACATGTTTTTGCATGCAAATCAGTAAAACATGCTCTGAGACCTGAGATCAAGAGAATTCATCCAGCCTGAGCGCAAAGCGTATGCCTATGCGAGCGCGGCTTCCCAGCTGAGTTTCGTTTTGTATGAACTTAAAGGAAATTCATAGATTGAAAACGGTAAGAGCATTCGTGAAGGGCACAGGATTCAGCGTGGTGGACAAAGGAAACAAACTGAAACAACCTCTAAGATGAGGTTCGACAAAATCCTGATTATTAGTCTGTTTCGATAAGTTCGTCAAACGTTTAACTATTAGTCTATTTTGTAGATAGACAAGCAAGGTTATTTGACCAAATAGATTCTATTTGTGTAAATAGACTTGCAAATAGTATATAGACTGTAGTCTATTTGTGCAAATAAACTTTCAGATAGGATATGGTCTAACTGCTATTTGATTATATAAAAAACAGCATTGTGGAGGTTTCTAGAAAATAAGTGTGGCTTGGATCATGTCCAAGCCAAAATTATGTCACGCAAACACGTTTGTCAAAAAGTAGTTTTCTTGATTGCGCATGTGTTTCTTGTCTGCTGCTTCGGGGTAGCAGTTTTTTTGCAGCAGTGTTTCTTGCCTTTGCTCTTTCTTTCTCTCTCTCTCTCTCTCTCTCTCTGGATGCCTTGGGCGCTGGAGAACCTGGCGGATCTTCAGTGCCAGTTGCCTTTGCAGTTGCTGCGCTGCCTCTAAGCTCTTCTGTATCTTATTGCTTTCCTGTGCACAGCTTCTACTTTTGTCTGCCACCGCTCTGTCAGTTTGGCGTCAGTTTGGTGTCGGTTTGGTGTCGGTTTGGTCTCGGTTTGGTGTCAGCAACACGGAACAGAAGACACGTGACACGTAAGGCACAAAAACAGTCACACAAAGCACGTTCCGAACGCAGTCGGACAAAAACGAAAAACTCACAAAACAGATTCTGAACTTTGAAAGGCGCGATGTGAAGCATCCACGGCACCACAACGATCCACCAGGACGAAAACGCAAGAAAATGCACCCAATGGCCAAAACTCCCTTTTTGAACTCCGGAAGTCGTCATCCGCACAAAGACACAGATCAGCAAGCCTCGGCACTCAAACCTGGAACCACCCAAGCATCACACAAAGATCCACATCTCAGTTGCCTTGCAACTGGCACAATCTGACATGAATGATCATCAAACAGCTTCACAACACACCAAAAAAAAACCAACATTCTGGCCAAACCCAATCCACTCCACCATCCAA